GTATGAATAGCTTAAAGAGAACCATCGTCTTAAGCTAGGTCTGGGAATGGATGTTTGAACGATTTGAAGGTGGTGCCGAATCTATACAGATGCAGGATCCGGGCAGTACCCAAAAATGAGGATGGATCATCCTTTTCTATGTAAATAAGTCCGAACGGGGAATCAGGAATTCCAGGCCAATGGGTTTGTTGTCTATAATTCTCAGCTACTAACGGAGAACAACCCGAACAGGGAATAATACCAGCAGTAAATAATAATAGGATTCCGGAATGAAAAGGCGTGAAAACGACTGTCCTATGAAATTGGCCGAGTGGCGAACAGAAAGCCAAAAATTGATCGAAAAAGCGTAAAAACAGCTAAGTACAACAAAACGTACTGCATCTCGGACGGTAAAACGAAGAAAAAATATGAAAAAAACAGATGTCCTACAAAGTGGACCGAATTCCGAATGATAAAGCAGAATTTGACATAGACAGATAATTAAACAAAGCATTGGGCAAAAGAGATTGTATTCATCGGCTCTACTGGTCGGGAAGTACAACTACTACGGGAAAAAGGAAATTACAATTATCAACGAAGAAATTCAAGGTTTTAAACTAATGGCCAGGGGCCCCTTCTTCTTCATCATCTTCATCTTCGCCTTCATCAGAAGGAGGTTCAGGCTCCCTCCCTGCAGCACGATCGGCCTCCCGTTGGACATCCCGCTCATATTTCTCAAATTGAGCTTGAATAATATCAACCTGAGGAAGATCGGAAGCCTGTACTGGTCTCCCAAGTTGATTCTGAAGGTTGTACACAAAGGGGCATAGAATGTTCTGGCCGACCTTGACGTAAAGATCCGAGACTATGGAGTCATTCAATTTCTTGCTCTCGGGGTCCATATCGGGGAGATCCACTCCTGCCTTAAGCCGTTCGGTGCCCTTGAGAAAGTTCTTCAAGTAGGCCCCAAAAGTTGCTGGGAGTTGCTGCTGGGCATACTCCTCTTTGAGAGCAGCAAATTCATCAGAAGCTTTGATGTTCTCCCGAACGGTAGATAAGTCTACACACTTCATATGGGCCGTCTGGGATACTAGAAGGCATCTATTCAAACTTGATCTGGGCGGCCTCAGTAGCAAAGACCTTAGCCTAGGAAGCAGAAAGCTGAACCCGGAGTGCGCCAAGCTCAGTATCCAGCCTTTGCTTTTCCTCCACAAAGGCTTTCTGATCAGCCTCAGCAAGAGCAGTGGCAGCAACAGCAGCCTGCTCTGCGGAAGTTTGAGCAATGATCAGTTCCCGCTCTTTGGCCAAATGGGCCTCCCTCATTTGCAAGGTGTACAGTCCCACCTACAGAATGCCGTTCGGGAATAAAGAATGAGATGATGTGGAATGAATGATAAAATATGAAATGAAGTACAAAGGAAAACGAAATACCTTCAGAGCAGCCAGAGCCAAGCACTCTTCAGATTGCTCGACTGGTAGTGTGGGGACCGCAAAGTTGTTAAACCATGAAGAAGTACACCAGATTTGGCTCGCAGAGGAACCAACCTTCTCCAACACCTCATGAACGGGATCTGCCAGAGAGATCCGTTCGACCTGCCCAGAGAGATGGGCGGTGTGGGTTTCACCCACGTTTGTGGTAGCACCCTGAACAACCTGAAAGTGCTCAGTAAATTGATGCAGCTGATCAGATCCGAACCGATCGTCGATCAGCATGTCTTCAAACGGATCCTGATGGGAAACCTGTTGAATGGCCTCAGGATTCCGAACGGTCTATGAAGGCTCGGGATGTTGTGTAGTGGCAGTGGAGGGATTAGCCTTGGGATTTTTCTTCGCCTTTTTCCTCTTCCCTACTCCACCAACAACGAGTACACGACTGTTATCCATAGTAGCGTCTGGATTGGGAGCTGAAAAATAACAAAAGGAAAATGTTAGTACCGAGCGGCCTTATCACGTGGGAAACAAAAAAGAAGGGAATGTTTCTCGCACGGGAAGGACCGCCTGGACCATGGCACTTGATTCTTAAAACAAGTAAACCCAATAGAACTGGCAGTACCTATCCCGGCCTCGATTAGTCGATCGGGGGTCAGATATCTTATGATATCACAAGATTTGTCCTTCTCTATTGCGAAAACATCCTTGCAGATTTGTTCGGTAAGAAGCGAATCGGGAGTTCTACGGGAAAATGCATTCCACTTGTTCGGAATCAGTCCGTCCGGGACGGAGACAAAAAAGAACCGGTCTTTCCACCCCTTGATCGAGGTAGGATTACCCTTAAATAAAATATGACCCGTTCGGGCAGTTGCAGCCAGGTAACCGTGTGTCTGCTGGGGAGCCACCTTAAAAAATTGATGGAACATCTCCAGAGTCGGAGTAACATCGGCATCTTTACAATGGCAAATGAAGCCCGCTATCACCCGATAAGAGTTCGGCATAACTTAGGCCGGTACTATCTCATAAAAATTGAGGAAGGAAATGAAGAAAGGGTGTAGGGGAAACCTAAGCCCAACTTTCACCGAGTCAAAATGGACCACCACCATCCCAGGAAGGTGGCGCATTGGGTGAAGCCCAACCCGAAGACGAAAATCCACCGGGTCCGGAATTAGGGCTGGGATTTGAGCCCTATTATTAGAGGTCAATTTTTGCCTCCTTTCCCTAATTAGCCTCAAGTCCACCTTATGACGGGGAACGTCGCCAGGGAGGCCGGCCGCCATTGAAACGAGTTCATCACCGGATTTCGTATCGTCGAAATCATCATCAGTAGAAGAGCCGACGGAAGAATCCTCCGCCTTTGTCCTAGTCTCCGCCGTTGCTTCATTTGAACCACCGGTAAACGGGACATTTATGACGTCCACAACGCGGCATCATGGTCATCCCCTTGGGAAGCCATTTCCGAATCAGAGGAACGCGATTGAGGACTCATACCGACCAGACCGAAGAAAAAGGAGAAAAATTAAGGGATGAAAAATACCTGAACACGAAAAGCTTGAAGAAAGTTTAGAAAGAAGGCAGAGCTAAAGCACGAAGGATTGATAATTCGAAACCCAGAACTAAAGAACTAAAGGCTAATTTATAGTCTGACAAACGCCATATCGATGACCAACCAAATAATGACACATCACCAGGACTATTTGAAATAACATATGTCGCATGGAGAAGCAAAGATCAGTAATCATGACGGATATGGGAAAACTCAAACGACAACCGCAAAAGAGGTAATAATCAGAACATGGGGAACCGGCGAATTCTGAGTGTCGATCGCCATTCGGCATTTAGGTTCTACTTCCTAGTGCACTCACTATCATTCGAGACATTGGAAGTGGGGGACTCGTGTTGGGGTTTTGGGCTAAAGGCCCAATACCCGGATTAAAGGCCCAGAATATCCAGCCCAAACAACGAGCCCACAACCCCGTGGTAAGTAGGCCCGGTGAGATATTCACACCGAACGAGGTTCGGGCCAAATAAAGGCTGGCCCAGAAATAGATATGCCGAACGGGGTTCGGGTCATACATCATACTTGCAAGTGGCCAGATTGCATTAAATGCTAGATTACGACATTAACAAGTAGAAGCATGGGCACCCAAGTCGGTGGATTAACAACCAATCAGCATGGAGCGCCCCATACCCCCCATTAGTATAAATAGAGGGTTTAATATCATTGTAAAGGGTTAGCATTTCCATACTCAAGCTCTAGAATAGCATTATCACTTTTGTTTCTTGTATTAATCACTACTCCGACGTATCGATCGGGAGGTTTCCGTGTAATCAAGCAAGTTATTTAATACAAAGTGAGCTTTAGAGCAATCAATTATATATTCATCTTTTATATTTCTTTATACATGTGGTTCTGATCCATTTCCTGATATATCCAAAGTTCGTGTTGGGCTTTCGGATCTGTGGGACTAAACATCAACAATTGGGATTATTAAAAAACGACTATAGTTCGGATTATTTATAGAATACACAAAACTTCTACTACCTCCGTCCCACTAAGAGTGGGACAAGAGAATGTGGCACGCTTATTAAGAAAAGTAGATTTGTGTGATTGATAATAAATTGATAAAGTAAGAAAATGTAAAAATGATTAAGAGCCACACAAACTTTACCAAATTTGGTATGAGACAATCTTAGCGGGACGGAGGGAGTATTTAAAAGTGACCTGCGTAGCAGGTCATACCCGGTCATGGACCATTACTGTGGACAAGTCATATACTTGAGATTGTATAGAAATAATCAATAATGAAATAATTAAATGACACTATATTGTAGAACCTATTAGTCATATTTGTGTAAATAAGTTTTATTTTAGTATTACATTTGAAAAAACCTGTCAATAATTTGGGTCATGGTCACTTATGTTCAATTTTTAAACATAAGTGACCATGACACTACATTATAGTAAATATTAGTCATATTTGTATAAATAATTTTTATTTTAGTATCCCTTCAATATTTAAGAGATTTCTACATTAGCTTTTGCACATTATTTCAAAACAAAAATAGTAGGGTAATGAATAGTGTACAAAAAATAGGAGAGAAGGTTTGAAAATATGAAAGATAAGATTGAAATTTAAAAGTAGAAAAAGAAATGATGATTGAGTATTTTTTAAAGGAAAATTTACCAATTATGAGCAGAGCATCTGATTCCCAACGATTAGTGTGTACAAAAATGATGGATGTGAAATCCCTTGTTTTGGCATATTCAATTACTCCCTCCGCCCCCTAATATTGGTAAGGAAGGGAGTGATGTGGTTTTTAAGAAAAGTAGAATTATGTGGTTGGTAATGAGTTGATAAAATGGAAATAAAATAAGAATGAATTAGAGCCACACAAATGTTACCAAATATGATATGGGACAATAATAAAGGGACATCCAACAATGGAAAAATGGGACAATTATAGGGGGACGGAGGGAGTATCTTTTAAGGTCATATGTGATACTAAGTCTTAGGAATAACAGAGAGCAAATCGGATATGAACGAAGGCCTCTTTATGGATTTCAATCGGGATGTCATGATCAGTACCTTAGGAATTAGATTTTTTCAAAGCACTCTGCTTTGTTCCACAACGTTGCTCGCAAAGAGCTCTTCGTCGCCGGGGTTGCACAGTGCCTCCCCAGTGTTCTCTATCGTGCGCGGCATCTCCCTTGCCGGAGACTCTTCGCCGAGCTCAAGAGCCGCTTTTACAGCAACATCGTGAGCTTTGGCCTTCTTGTGTTTCTCTACCTTCTTCTCGCGCTTTAGCTTGGCGTGAATGACCGATATCTTTTCCCAGCGGCTTTCCACAAATTGTTTCACTGGTTGGGTGAAACGGTTGTCTTGATTTTACTTTGCGTCTCTCCCTTGATACATGGAGGAGGTGGGGAGAAATCCAGAAGTGAAATAGAAAAACATAATTGAAAATAAAAAAGATTCAAAATCAAAAGAAAAAACACTTGGGTTATAAATGATACAATGTATGTGACATATAAAAGTGGACTGTATGGATAATTTTCACATAAAATTAGGCTCAGATTTAATTCTTTACGATAAGTGTGAATATGATGAGTTTTAAGTCCTAAAGTAATAATTTTTCGGGTGATTTTTTTTGAAGCTGCTTCCAAGTGAATTTTTGATGAAAATTATGAACATGTGTTTTTAAAAGTTTAAATTATGTCCAAAAAATTTTAGTTTAAAATTTAATGAATAAGTTAGTTAAATAGATTATTGAAAAACACTGCATTTTTATGCACATTTTGGCGTAGTGTTTTTCAATAATTTATTTTTATGACTTAGGGACTGAATTTTAAGTTGAAATTTTGTGGACATGTTAATAAAATTTCATGAAGAACACTTGATGAAGAACATGTTCATAAAATTTCATAAAAATTTGACTTGGAAGTGGATTAGTCTGATATAATTATTTGATTAGTTTATTAATTATTTTCATTCATAGTTGATTGTTTGATTTCTTAATTGTTGATTGGTGTTATAAATTGTTAACTTTAGACGAAAAAATTCAATTATAATTAAATTGATAAATTTCAATGTGTAATAAAATAGTTGACTCCGGATAGGGTTAAGGAAAAAAAGGAAAAAAAGGAAAAAATTAGAGAAAGTGATGCTAAGTAAAAATGGTTCAATGGAAAAGTTTATTTGTGTAAAGAAGTCAAATTCTGAATATCCTCAATATGAGAATTCAGAGAAGAAGAATGATTTAGTTATCGAAGATGAAACAATTCACAATGATCACATGACCAGGGCCGGTCCTGGGATATGAGCAAAGGGGCATGCGCCCAGGGCCCATTGCTCCCCTAGGGCCCATAAATTTCCGTTTATATATGAGGAATATTTTGGTCAGTCCGAGCTGACCAGAACCGCCCGCCGTAAGGCCAATCTCGTTTGAGAGCCTTTTGGGTTGACTTTTTTAATGAAATTTTGTGAGCACGTTCTTCATTAAATGTTAAAACATTCACATAAAACTTCATCAAAAAATTCAATTGGAAGTTAGTTAAATAAATTCTTCAAAAATACTGCACAAACATATGCATAAAAATCACAATGTTTTTCAACAAATTATTTAACTGATTTTCAAATAGAATTTTAAGCTGAAATTTTGAGCGAATGTGCTACACTTCATGACGAACATGTTCACAAATTTTCATTAAAAAATGTAACTCGGAAAGCCCTCAAACGGGCTTGGCCGCAAAGAGGTTCTTGTCAGTCCGAACTGACCAGAATTTTATTATATATATGTGTGTGTATGTGTTTGTATTTTAATATATAAAAATTTAAAAATAAAATCAAACCTATAATTTTTTCATTACGTTCAGTTTTTTATTCAACATCTACAAACTACAATTCTAAAATTTTGAAACATGTATACCATAATTGTTTGTGAATAAATTTCACACTTTCTTTTGATTCACTAAGTGTACGTTAGTGCATAAATGTCAATATTTTCATTTCTCTCTCATGTAAACTCATGATTCATTGATAGTATTTGACTAATTTTTCTGTTCTCTCGTGTAAGTGAAAGATTAAATTAGGGTACCAAGGATTTAGAAACTTGCAATTTGTTTTAGTCTAGTGAAAATGTGAATCAAAATATGAAAACTTTACTTCATAAGCGATATAACTTTCGCATCTTTCCCCAATTCAAAATTATGTACTAAAATCGTTCTACTTTTCCATTGAGCCGTTTTGTTACATGGTATTCTCGAATGTCAATTATCAAATACTTAAATATAATCTCTCTAACCGTTCTTTATTAATTTCTTTGATATGTTATACTCGTATTTGAATGAAAAAAATGCTTAAATATACTTGATTATAGTTTTTATAAACAAATATAAAAATTCACACGTTGTCCTTAAGGCCTACTCTATATGTATCCCCCGGGCCCATAAAATGTCAGGACCGACCCTGATCACATCATTAGAGTTAATTCCTTAAATAAAACTAAAATATTGATGAAGTACACAAATAGAACCACCAATGTTTCCTTCCTAAATAAGGACACACTGGTTATTATTATTATTATTATTATTATTATTATGCATGTCAGTTTAGACAAAACAAAGTTTTACAATTTTATAAGATTAGGCCTATTTTATTTTTTTTCAGCCCCTAAGCCTGCAAACATACAGCTACGTAATTTAACCGGCAACCTGGCTAAAAGACAAATTGTCTCGTTATTAATGGTTCGTGGTTTGATTAGGCCTATAACTTTTAAAAGTAGCAAAAATATTCATAATGTTTTTATAAAGTAGTAATTTATCCTCATTAACTTTAAATAAATAAAGTAAATTTTAAAAACGGAAAATCTAATCAAATTAAACCGAACCGCGGTCAAATAAAACCTAATAGAATTATTAGAGGTTTAGTATTGCACTTTACATTAAACTCTCTTTAATATAAATATATCTGCCAGAGCTCCTTAGGAAGTAACCTTTCCATAATTCTCACATGGTATCAAGAGCACATTAATTTTTTCCGATCCTCTCTCTCTCCCTAAACCCTAGCGCAGCCGCCGCCCTACCTTCGGCGCCGCCCTACCTTCGGCGCCGCCCCATACTTCTTCGCCGACCGCCAGCTTCATTCGTCGCCGAACACCGCAGCATGTCATCCTCGACGTCCGTCTTCAGCACAACGGCAACCACGACCCAGCCGCCTTCCCCAGCAGCAGCTACCTCCGTCACCACCGCCGGCGCTCCACCATCTTTTGGATCACTGCCGGCAATTACCTCTGTCTCTTCCGGTGTGACGTTCTCCTCCAACTTTGCATCGCCAAGTCGGGTCTCTATGCCATATTCCTTGTTTCAAAATGTCTCGCCGATGTTCCTATGGTCGGCTCCAATTCTTGTGCAGGCAGTCCCGCTAGAGCCGCCGCCCTTCTCGACATGTCCCTCCTTTGCTGGCCCCACGTTCGTCGGCTCACCTGGTGTCTCCTCTGTGATCCCTCCCTCTCGCCCACAAGCAGGCAGCCCGGCCGGATCACTTCTGGCTGATTTGGCTCAAACAATATCTCATGTGGCCACCAATGTCACAAATATTGTGACTACTATTGGCTGGAGAAGACTACACCACTTGGAGGACACAATTCGAATCGTTTCTAGTTTCACAAGCTCTATTGGTCATGGTTGATGGCTCCATTCAGGTACCCCCTGCTTATTCCATAGATGCTCTTAATCGTCAAACTCCCAATCTCGAATTTTCTACTTGGTTGAGAATTGATCAAACCATCCGTTCATGGTTATTTGCAACCCTATCTAGGGATGTTCTTATCGATGTACGTGATTTAAAACATTCATATGAAATTTGGGAGCAGTTGGAGTCTCGGTTTATGTCTGCCAGTTTAGCCAGATCTATGGAATTAAAGCGCTTATTTAATCAAATTAAAAAGAAACCTGATCAGTCCATGAATAATTATTTGCAAGAAATTAAAACATTAGCTGATGATCTTGCCACAATCAATTGCCCTGTACCTCAGCGTGAAATTTTAAAAACTACTATTATGGGACTAGGACCTGAGTATGAATCTTTATTCACTGTTGTGTCATTATTTGGACAAAATTTCCCGTTTGAGACTCTCCATAATCATCTTCTTGAGTTAGAGCACCGGGTCCTTTATCTACGATCCCAGGAGTCCTAGTCCCTTCATCAGGCGTTTGGCGCGACTGTTTCTTCTCCCAGGCAGCCGTCTAGCCAGCAGCCGACTCAGCCGCATTCGGGATCCACGCACCCGGTCGGGCAGCAGGCTTACCCGGTTGGGCAACCGCGGCAGTTTGGCGCTCCACAGCGCGGCCGAGGCCGCGGGCGCGGTAGAGGCCGCGGAGGCAGGGGCGTGGCCGAGGACAGCAACAGACATATTGGTACCCCCAGGGGTAGACAGTTTATTACCCCGGAGGGGGTGGGCAGCCGAGTACACCTGCAGGGGGTGTGACATCTACGGGTACTGTTATTTGTAATTCTGTTGTGTCACATATAAATATTAATGCTTTACCTGTCTGTGTTACTAATCGTAGTTCTGCAGGCTTGCCATCAGATGGGGGTATTCTTGGGTCTGTTCCCCATCCTGTTGTCTGTCAAATTTGCTTTTCTGCAGGTCATTCTGCCATCAATTGTCCTTCTCGTTTCACACAACCGTCCGCCCTTGCTCTATTGACTACTCCCGGTGACACTACTCCTGCTCTATGGTTTCCTAATTCAGTAGCTTCTACTCATATGAGTGCATCTGAAGGTATTTTAGTTAATAAATCTCCCTACACCGGCTATAATTCTGTTAGTGTTGCCAATGGTGCCCATCTTCCCATATGTAATGTTGGTGATGTTGCTTTACCTACATCTGGTCGTCCTCTCTCTTTAAAATTTGTTTATCATGTACCTCAGTTAAAATATAATTTAATTTCCATTAAAAAGCTCTGCGCTGATAATAATTGTACTGTAATTTTTTATAAAAATTCTTTTTTATTAAGGACAAAGCAACGCGGGCAGTACTTCTGCGAGCTACCAGTAGTGGGCCACTTTATGCTCTCCATCTGCCACCATCATCACCATTAGTTATTGCTTCCGTTTTAGCTTCTGGCCCTGTGTGGCACCGTAGATTAGGTCACTGTGGTGATAGTATTTTACAGTTTCTTAAGAGAAAACAATTTTTATGTAGTCATACTCCCTTTACTCATGAGTGTGTGGCTTGTCGTTTAGGAAAATTACAACGTTTGCCTTTTATGGATGCTAGTCATAATTCTGTTTTTCCTCTGGAAATTATTCATTCTGATGTGTGGCAGTCACCTGTGTATTCAAATTTGGGATTCAAGTTGACAATGCATATATTTAACAATCAAACAACCATAACAGTGAAGAAGAAGCAGATAGAAAGATAT